GTGTGCGTTTGTGTGCGCATGCCTGGAAGAGTTGTCACCCTTTCTTGGCAGGAGTTCCTTGGCGTCCTGTCACCAAATAGAGGACGAAACCTTTTCAGCCCTCTCCACAGGAAGCCAGAGGAGTTTTGGACCGTGCTCCAAAACTGGGCTACAACTTCCCAGCAGACTGCCCTGTTTATTTCCACCCTGTTTCAAATGTCCCAAATTTGTTGGGGTTTTAAAAATTCCAGAGCCCTGGGGGAAAACACTCTCCAAAGCTTACACCTGGTCAGAATGAATGGGGGACTGAGGCATGGAATAGTGGAAATGATGTCATCAACCCAACTCTTTCCTTTAAAAAAAAAAAAAAAAGATTCATTCTGATCATTCTTCAGCTTTTACAGTTCCTTGCTTGATGGAAACTTTTCCGAGAGAAGCAAAGTTTCTGAAAAGACCCAAAGCTTGAAGCTCTAGGCTATAGAAGGAAATAATATATATTTTTAAATCAATGTGGGGTGTTGACATTTTTTAATGATTCCTTTTTAAAAGTCATAGTTGGGGGTTTCTTTTGACGCATGGATCGTATGGACCTCGGCCCTTCCTTCCATCGTAGAGATGACAGATTTTCCCTCAATGCCATTTCCCCAGAAACTACAAAGACGTAACAATGGTTTAAACTGTTAGGGGAGAAAAAGAGGCAAAAATAACGCAACACTATTTTGCTCAGAATACGAATACAAAGTGCAGAAAACTGCACCTATGTGGCTTCTGTGATTCAGATCAGTGGGGAATATTGGTCTGAGGATGCACATTTCCCTTCCAGGGATCAATGAAAAGGATTTAGAGAACAAGGCCCCTGTACATTTTATATCAGAAGTCTCCTTTGGCCAACTTCTTCCTCTGTACAACCAGGGGATCGGCATTGGTAGCCTAAACTAATTTCCACTAAACTCCAGAAAGGTATCCTTGCATTAAACTGACTTAACAATTGTGTTATCTTTGCAATAAACGGCTTAGTGCTGTAGAAGGTCATTGCTCAGGGAGGGAGTTGAGGCCTCGGTCAGCTTGGTTAACTCCTTTGCTCCTTGGTTTGGTTGTCTACACCTGCGTTTATCTACTGCTGTTATCAATCCTTACTCTGCATGTTGACGAGAGAGCCCTGCATGCGGTGGGTTTTGGGTTATGGCTTCCCTTGTTTGCTTCTGGCAAGGATGAGACAATCTTTAAGGGCTTGCTATAGCTTGGAAATACAAGCATTGCTTCCTCATGTATAATTCACAGTGAAGGAATTAGGTAAATATGGAATAAGGCCATAGCCTCATATCGCATCGGCATTTGGCATGTATGAACATCTTGCAAAAGTTCTTCCTTTCTGTTAAACTCTTGGCTTTGGACTATACGTACCGAAATGTCTTTGCAAGACCTGAAAGTACATTGAACTGTTTACAGAGTCTTCCCAGTGTTCTTTTCAGGGTCTTAATTTACTTTTCTGCCATATATTAAGGAACCAGCGGTCTTTAAAAAAGAAAAGATGAGAAGTTGTCCTTGTGAAGATGGGTGTCAGGATTCCGGCAGTTAAATCATGAGTCTGGAGCCAAACTTCCAAAACTTCAAAATGATTTATTGGGAGTTAACATGTCCGGCACTGCCTGGGTATAGCTGACTCTGAGACACATCATTCACTGTCACCCTTGACCCTGGTTTTCCCCCACCCCTGTGGGTGTATCATAATTCATATTCTCCAGTGGGACACATCCATAGCCAAGAGTCATCAGTCATGCTCCCAAGTTAGAATTTTGCACAGCAGAAACTTCAGTCATCTAGTTATTATCTTTGAAAACATTTATGGAATGCACTGTCAATTTCCAAGCAAACCCCTTTGCCCCCCTCTTTCTGTTGGCAACTCTAAAAAGATAATAAACATATTTTATGAGTTGACCATGGACTCCAAATGGGGAGAACCACTCAGAGTTAGAGCTAGAACTCATGTTCCCGATGAGAACCAAGGCTTGGAGGACCCACATGTGGACCTCAAGTTTCCCATGGTGCAAAAAACACGAAACATGGATGCTCTGATTCATCTGATGATTCAGAAATTAACCAAGCAAACATTGAAGATCATGTATGTTCACGTTCTAAGCTAACTTTGAGCATGGCCCTCGCAGGCCTCAGAAATATGTTACCCCATCATTTTTTTCAGTATGACAAAAGAAAAAAAAAGATAATTATTGGGCAGGAGAAGAACCATATTAAACCCTTTTCATATTAGTTTAGATTTCAGTGTAAATGAGAGAAAATGGGAAGCCATTCTCATCCTGGCCCCTATGTTTTCAAACTGAAAACTAAGTTCATCCGAGCATTGGCTTGGGGAAAACAAATGACCCTTCCTTGAGGTTGGAGGTCAACAAGATAGTTAGGTCTTTACTTGATTTGTTTCAAGAAGGGTAATATTTTCCAGGACTCGGAGAATGGAGAAAGGTCTGAAACTTCTGTAGACGGAAATTCATTAGATGAAGCCGGAGAACGGAAGTGCTGGAAGAGAAAGTTGAGAGAAGGTGAAGTTCTGAAGTTGCTCCTGAGTTTCATTATTTCAGTCTGGAGGCAGATGTCTGGCAGTAGATCTCCTATCTCAGAAAATCCCACTGCACATAGCTGAGAGGAGGTGAGACAATTTAGAATAGAATAGAATAGAATAGAATAGAATAGAATAGAATAGAATAGAATTAGAATAGAATTAGAATAGAAAATATGGAATGGAATGGAACGGAACAGAACAGAACAGAATAGAATAGAGTAACAGAGTTGGAAGGGACCTTGGAAGTCTTCTAGTCCAGCCCTCTGCTTAGGCAGGAAACCCTATATCATTTCAGACAAATGGTTGTCCAATCTTTTCTTTAAAA